AAAATTCATGTGGGATTTGAAAATTCGAATTCAAATTCAACCAAGGCTTAGGATCCAAATAAGCAATCAATGGGTGAAGCCAATTAATGAGCCAGCGACATGATGAGGGGAGGGAGAGGATTTGGAGAGCTTTTAAAAGTTTCCAAATGGGGTTTTCTAATTAGGGAGAGGAGTAATTAAATCCAATCCAATTTGAAATTAAATTGAATTTGGATTTAAAACTTTCCAAATATATCTATGTCAATTTAGGAAGTTATTTGAAATTCAAATCTGAATTTCAAATTGAAGAGTTATCTTCCTAAATCACTTGGGTGAGTTTTGGTAAGTGGTAATGATGATGAGAATCATCATTAATGGTGGGAGGGCCAAGTGGCCGGCGGCAAGGAGGTGGGAGGGGGTTTAGGTGCTCGGTTGGATGGGAGGATGGGGTTAGGCCGGCGGTGGGGCTTGAGGTGGTGGAGTTGGGGGAGGTCTTGGGTGGGAGGAGTGGATGGCTATCAGTGGAAGGGAAAGGAGGAGCTGGTGGGTGGGGTGGGGAAGAGAAGAAAAGAAAAGTAAAATAAATTAAACCACGAGCTGCGGACTCTTCTAATGACTTGTGGGTATTGCGCTTGCCCTCACCTTGGGCTCTCTCTCCCTTCTCTCTAGTGCTCACACAATAAGAAGAAGAAAACATATAAAATTTTCATTATCAAAATCATCCCAAAATATAAGAGAACTAACCTATAAACAGGCCTCATAAAAAAAAAGAAACAATGACTAAAATGCCCTTCAGGCTACAACACCACATTATCACCCCTAGGGGTAAAATAAGAAAAATAGAAATATAAATTAAACTAGTTCATAAAACACATAAAATAAATAAATAAACTCAAGATCGTAGCCGCTGATCTCTGATGTCCTCATCAGTTTGTTTCACAATCCTTTACATGTAACTAGTTTCTATTAATGGAAATGAGTTTTGCCCTCAATTTTCTAAGAAATAATATTAAGTCATTGTTTGATATACTCATTGTTGCCTAATCGCCATCATAGGGAAGTCATTACTCGACCACATTCATTGGATCATCCTATCCTGACCACAATTGCCAAATTATGGTCTCCGACTACTGTCACTTGATAATTATTTCTTAATCACCATTGTAGGATATTGTCGCTCAACTATGATTTCCCGACCACCAATACCTGACTACAACTTCTGTCTACTATCACATTACTATAATCTCATAACCACCATTGATTGATCATGACTTGTTGACAACCATAATTTAAATATGATTTCTAGATCAACATTATCAAATTAGTGTTGCCTGACTATGATTCCCTAATCATTATCACCAATCATAACCTCATGACCACTCTCCCTCAACAACTACTTATTGACTATTTTAAATAGAGTATTGTCACCTGACTATGGCTTCTTGACTATCACTATCCAACTACAATCTCCCAATCATCATCGTCTGACTATGATCTCCCGATCATTGTTATTTGATTATGATTTTTAAACTACCATCATTTGATTATGGCTTCCCGATCACCATTATCAAACTACTACTACTTTGTTATAATCCCATAAACATCATTGTATAATTAGGATCCTTTATCACCAATGCTAAAATACAATCTCTTGATTATTGTAGCCCAACTACAGACTTCTAACTTCTATCATTTGACTATGATTTTTTGACACAAAAAGTGATTTGATACGAATCCAAATGAGCCAAAATCAAACATTTGAAAATATCTAGATATTAATTGGATGAGCAAACAATCTCCAAAATTTGCATGTTTATAGTCAATTCAAGACTCTTGATGAGGCAAATTTAGCTAGTTAGGATCACTTAATTTTGACATCATTAAAACACTTAAATACTAAGGGAATAGTTTATAATCATGGTGATTACTTCATCCCATTCTATCGATTATTTTAGGATTTTGATTAAATTTATCAAAATGCCACTCTCATAAAAGCTATAAATAGACAATCTTTCTCGCATGAGGGGGGAGTTGGATAGGGGAGGATAGAGCTCTGCTTGATAACCATCATCATACCATTGTTACCCAATCATTATCGTTGGGCTGCCACTGCCTGAACATTGCCATCAAACCACCATCTCATGATTGTGGTCTCCAGATCGTTGTCGCCCAACTACCATATGCCAACTATCATCACTTGAATGTGGTTTCACAACCACCATTATAGCATGTCCACTGTCACCGACCACCCACGATCGCTCGATTATGTTATCCTGGCTACCATCTTTTAATTATGTTCTCTCAACCATCGTTACATATAGCTACGATATCCTCACTACTATTGTCTGATTATGATATCCCGACCATTATCACCAAGCTACAAATTTTTATCACATTCACTGGACTACTGTCATTTACTACAATTTCATGAGTATTTTAATTAGACAATGGTCTTTTGTACATTGTCCCAAATTATAGTTTTATGTTCATTGTCATTAGACTATTTCTGCTCAACAGTGATCTCACAACCATCATTGCTCGATTATGATCTCTTGACCATCATTGTTCAACTACAATCTTCTGACCACTCTCATTGGATTAAAATATTCCAATCATTATTTCCCAACTATAATTACTCAACCACTGTCACCTAACTATGGCCTCCTGACCATCATTTCCCAACTACAATCTTTGGTCACCTCGCCTAACTATGTTCTCCAAACCTCCATCTTTCAATTATTTTATCCTAATCAATATCGTCTGACTATGGTATCTTGACAATCGTCGCCTAAGTATGGCCTCCCAAATACTATCACCTGGCTAAATTCTCTTAACTATCATCACTATATTATAATCTCCTAATCACCATCACTCAACCACAATCTCTTAACCACTGTCCTGCAACTATGATTGGAAGATGAATGTTGAAGATCTAACTAAGAGTAAAGAAGAAGAAACAAAGTCTTCAAACAATATTGAGAAGGAAACAGTGATCATAAACATCATTTTCCTACAAACAAGACTAAATAAGAGTCTTCCACAAAAATTGTTTTGTACCTGACGCTTTTCCTCGAAAATCTTTCTCTCCCCCTCTAAGGCTAACCCATTGCTCTATGGTAGACAAAAGGAATGAGTGACTTGATATTCTGTTGGCCATGATGAAGAGGTTGATCGAGTTTCTTAAGAAGCAAATGAAATCTTTTCTAGCTGCAACAAGAACAATTGCTATAATGACCACAAGAGAGAGAGAGAGAGAGAGAGAGAGAGAGAGAGAGAGAGAGAGAGAATCCAGTGCTTAAACGGGGTGCTTAAACGGAAAAAAAAAAAAAAAAAACTTATATGAATGACATTTATCAAGCACTAAGATCTATGTGAAATGTAATTAAGTCATCATAAATGTTGAAATCTATTCCAAATTGCTGATTTCATTTCTGAAGGGATAAGGGGAATTCCATTCAAGTTGTCTTTCTTAATTTTATGGAATTCAGTCTATGATATTTGGAGAGAACGTAATGAAAGGAAGTTAATTTGTTTCATCTGCAAAATTTCATTTACTCTTAGAGAGATTATTAAAAAAACAGTCTTTCTGAAGCTATAAAGGTGGAAGAATGGGGAAAACTCAAAAGTATTATTTATGGTGGGGATTAGATGCTAGTGTGATGGTTGGTTGCTTGCTATCATTGGCTTTATTTTCAGTATTTTTGGGGTTTCTGTTGCTGTTTTCTTTTATTGATTTATGTTGGGCCTTTTTCTGGTGCTACGCTGGCCGTGGGGTTCTACAACTCTAAATTATGCATATCATGATATTTATGCTTTTGATCTTGGTTTTTCAGCTTTAAGTTTGGTATTATGGGGCGAGTATGATTGGATTGCATTTCTGTCCCCTAGATGGTGACTCTTTGCAATTAGGATCTCCTTGATAGCAGACCTCACAACCGGGGATTTCTCTTTGGCACGGTGAATGCAATTCCTATACTAAACCTTCTTGGGTGGATGCTCCTTTTTGCTTTCTTCTGCTCCTTTAGATTGTAGCTCTTTTTGCCAAGTGTATTTATTACACTCTTTTGTTTTTTAGCTGAATGTTTCTTTCACAATCCTTTACACATAACTAATTTCTATTAATGGAAATGGGCTTTGCCCTCAATTTTCCAAAAAAAAAAATAATTAAGTCATCGTTTGAGATACTTTCTTTAGAAAACAACAAGAAAGTTATTCCAAACGAATTCAAATTCGTTTTTAACTCTAACTTATTATGGATCCCCCTGATTCATTTAACAAACTCATACAATGTTGAAAATTATTATTTTGATATTACAAAAATTATTGCAACATTTTGAGTTCCATTAAGAAAAAGAAATGAATCATTCAAACTTCAAAGTCAAGCTGTTATGGTCCGTTCATTTCTTTCCCAATTGATCAAAAGAAGTTGCCTTTTTCACCGTGCTGGAATAGTTTCATGCACAGAATCAGCTAAGATAAGCCATGTTAGCCTTTTTATAACGGTAGTCGCCTTTATTCTTTGTCGAGAAAGGACTAATCTGAATAGACAAAGAATGGAATCTCTCTGAGGATTAGCTCAGACATTAAACAAAGATAGAATGATTCTAATTTCAAAATAGTTCGAATAAACAAACAAAAACAATCACTTTATTGTCCTATCCATAGTACAATAAAAGTGCGCTTTAAACCTTCATTAAGGAAAAAAATCTTTGATTATCTCCCGCAGCTCAACTTATGCTTTGTTTGAGATAATTTTTATTATTTTTGAAAATAATTTTTATACTAAGAAATTGTTTTAAGAAGCAATAAGAAAGCTGTCCCAAATGAAGTCTTAAGTTTCCTTTGGAACAATTTTTTTACTATTTAAGAAGCAATAAGAAAGCTGTCCCTAAAATTTCTCCATTGTCATAATAATAATAATAATAATAATAATAATGATTTTATTTCATATCAAATAAAACAACAAAGCATTACCAAATGAAGTGTAGGAGTTGAAAACATATTACCATGAGAGAAAGGAATAAAAGAAGCTTACATTCACATAAACCTTTTCATTATGAAATTTCAGAGTTCTCTATTCAAACTAATTCAGATAACAAAGCCTAATCTGAAGCTTAGAATAATCAGATGAGGATAAAAGCTAGCAAAGTACAAAATTCTAAGTAAAAATGACATTAAAGAAGTAACTCAAAACAGTTTTCCAACTATCCTCTAAAGACTATACATCAAAGAAGAAAAGTGAAAATAAGATCATTAAATCATCAAAGTTCTAGTGAAGGAAACATCTCAAGTTGAGAGGTTTTCCTAGAGTTCTAACGCCTGGAAAATAAGTTGTTCACATGCAAGTGCTCAAAGGAAAGAGATCAGAGCCTATTTCTCCATCCACAAATATGACATCATCTCTCTCCTGTGATGAAAAAGATCATAATCAGGAATTGAAGAACTCAAAAACTGAAATGGCTTGAAATAGATGATAAGTTCTGATATTGAAAGGTATTTCATCAGTCTGCATAAGCCATACATATGCTGCATGAAGTGAAAGAACAAGGACATGAAAAGTGATTTTCAACAAGCGAAAAAGCATGCAACCAAACTTTAGATTTTCATGCTGTAAACATTCCAAAAGAATTTGAATAAGTTTTAGAATTCGTTTGGGACAGCTTTTTTATTGCTTCTTAAAGCTGCTTTCTAGTACAAAAATTAAAATTTTTTTACTAAAAAGCTTTTATAAGAAACCGTCCCAAACGAAGCCTTAGTCACATTGCATGGAGAATGAAAGAACAAAAGTGATAGCTTCATTTATATTGAGGACCCAAAACAATTAAGTGTAATTAAATGATAGAATCTAACAATTTTTTTAAGAACTTGTTTTCTATCTAGAAGAAACCAAATGGGCCCAATTTCTAAGGAAAAAAAAACCAACATCCAGCAAACCATACATGGTAAAAGATTGACAGCTAGTTGATAGGGTGCTCTAAATTAGCATAAACTCTTTTAAGATCAACATGCTAAACATATAGAATAAGGCTTGTTTGGGACGGCTTTCTTACTGCTTCTTAAAGCAGTTTTCTAGTACAGTAAGAAAGCCGTCCCAAACGAAGCCTAAGTCAAGTCAACGACAATAGATTAATTTCACGCATACAGCAAGCAGTTTACCAGCAGCTTAGCATAAAAAGCCTGAATAGAGGAAGTTTGATCTAAACCAAACAAAATACAATCATTGGGGTAAGATTTGAACCTATAATATCCCCTTTGAAAATAATGGAAATACCACTTAAACCAGATAATAAAAGCAAGAATAAGCTAAGTGCGTGCCATTGAATTATTCAAAAAGTTCCATCATATCAAAGCAAATAAAGTTAGACAATCTGAAGGGAAAGAACAACTAATGGGCAAATGAGCAAGTCAACCCCACATTAAAAATATGAGATACAATAAATAGTCGATATATTTCTATTTATCTAAAAAATAAGGAACAAGAAGAACTTTCACTTTGCTTCAGGGGATTCACCAAAGCATTTATGCAGGGAAGAAGCGCCCTCCAAAAAAATAATATAAACCCAATAATTCTGTGTATGTCTATTACTGAAATACTATAAAAACATATGGAAACATAAAAAAAAGAAGCATTTCCAAGTAAAATACCATTCACCAAAGAGACTATAGAGTGAATTATGATAAGTGTTATACTAACACATGCAGACAACTAAAAGAGATGTACACAGAACAGTAAGACCATATAAAGTAATATTATTTCAGATCAGATATCACAAAAAAAAACAAAATAAACTAAATGATTTATTGCAGTACTAAATAATGAACTGCTATTTCTCCTCTTGGTCAAGGAAAAAACTCCATCATCCTAACTTTATTAGCAAGATTAAAACAAAGACTTCTTTATTTTTGGTTAAAATATGACAAGACCACCAAACTGTTACAAATGTGCTTTATTCTGCAGACACTGAAATAGAGAACAAAAGAAAGCAAGATACTCATATGGAGTTTAAAAATGGCTTTCCAACTTAAGTAATTGTGTACTGACTTGAGGCAACAAGGACCATCATAGGAATCTGTCTTGCAACAAAAAGGCAACAGATACACCAAAGAGAAAGCCTACCCTTCCATTTTAGGCAATATGGTCAACTACTTCTATGCAGGAACTAAACATTTTCATTCCAATGCCCTTCTATTAAAATCCAATACAATAAAATAAGAGTCCTCTTAATGGTGACAAAAAATATACTTTCTCGCAGTAGGAATGATGAACTTAGTTGATTAATGTCCACCTAGATACACTGGGCAAAAGGTGATAAATTTGATAGCACTAATCATATAGAATGTTTTATTAAAACTCATACTTCGTTTGGGACGGCTTTCTTACTGTTTCTTAAAGCAGCTTTCGTATAAAAAAAGCTGTTTTAAGAAGTAATAAAAAAGCCTTCCCAAACGAAACCTTAATGCTTCAAGAGGATATTTACTAAGAAACATGTCACCACTAAATATACCTCCAAATAATGGTTTCACTGCACGTAATACACAATACAGTTAACAGACTTGATAGAAATGCTGAAGTTTTGGCCTCTAGGCTCTCTTCCTTGCAACAAAAATACTGATTGAAGGAATTTTTTTATGAAAAAATAAACAACCTAATGGATGAAAAGAATACATTCTAATATTTTCTGAGCAAGATTTTAAAACAATCTTTTAAGTGACAGTTGTTTACAATGATTCAAAGATGGGAGCCTGGAACAATTGTTTAAGTGGTGATTTATAGGAAAGAAAAAAAACAGGCGACCATTAAAAGGTCTACGAGAGAAGAAAGGAGGATGCTTGCAGAATGCCTGGACACTGAAGTTGCAACTATCTATCATGAGGAAAATTAGATAATAAATATTAGTAAATCAATATGGATAGAATACCATGGAACATAGAACATATGTAAACAATTCTCTAAATCTGGGCAGTTAACTAGTGATGGAGATCTGAAGATACAGTTCATTCAGGTTAAGTGAAGAACATAACGAACTTGTAGCTGCTTGCCACCATATCCCACAGGCAACACTGGTGAAGACAATCAATAGTCAAAAAAGCAATAGCTATTATTTTTTCCCTAAGTGAGTTGTACACAAAAATCTAATAACCTTATATAAATGAAAAGAAGAAAAATGTGCTCTACACAAGAAGTTAAAGAGGATGTGAAATGGAATCTCACCGGTTTGATCATAGCATTCATTAGCTCATCAAAGTTGCAATTACTAGAGGCAAACCCACCCTGCATCTTAGATGACCCCAACATATTTTCCTCATTAAATGTAAGCCGGCTATCAATATTTGATTTATTCATCTTGGTATACACCGACATGAACGACGTATCAAAACAAGGCGGGCTAATCGTATTTCCATCCACCTTTTTGCTATAAGTTCGACTGTGCAACCTCTGGCTATCGGCAACGGTGTTGAGAAGAGTCTGATTTGGCAAAGTAGAGGTCAAGGAAGAACTCAACGTAATGTTTGATTCAAGGGCATTAAGTTGTGTTGGGTCCTCCAATTTCTGCTTAAGGTTTGCTGAACTTTTGAAATTCAAAAACTTGGGATCCACATCAATCCCAGAAGGCATAAGCAATGTATTACCACTAAGAGAGCTGGTTCGACATTGCATATCCCTTCCCATTAAAGAGTCTTGGGCCGTCGTCAGTAAGTTATTAGAGGTAATATTCAAAGGATTTCCATTGAACTGTGGGACTGCGGAAGCGAGGTTTCCACCCATGTTGCTTGAAGCCATATTATCGTTACCGTAAGAACTTCCCATAGACAAAGTGTTGGCATTGTATCCACTCAATGAAGGAGCACTTTGCCATGTTTCATTGCATCTACTGAGATCAGGCAAATGACTAGTCACTCCACTGCTCATCTCAAGACGATCTGCTCCAATAGATGGCATTGCAATTGAAGACTGACTGATTAATCCTCTCAACTCTGTTTGTTGTTGGTGTCCCTGCAATATCATAGAACTATTTGCAGCACTGATGAAACTATTGTTGGATGCGCCAGAGAAAACACCCGGCAAGCGGTTATTTGCTTCCTGTATCCTCTTTTGGTTTTGTTGCAGTTGGTCTAGTTCCAAAGAAGTCGGGATTCCCTGAAGTAAATTCTCATGTTGGTTTGAAGGAGCAACTATGTGCTGAAACTTAGAGAGATCACTCATATGATTGTTTGTAGTATTTTGAGTAAGGCCAATTTGAACAGTTCCAGGAGCCAGTCCAGGTAGTCCTAACAAATTTGGGTTTGTTCTTCTGGAGATTCCACTTGGTTGAAATGCTGTGAAGCCTTGAAGCGGCCCTGAAGTTGATAGACCATGAAAATTCCCAAAACCATTAAATGTGCCCATATGTAGATAAGAGGTATCTCTTCCTCCTAAAGCAGCAGCCATGTTAGCTTGTTGGCTAGCCACTGCACTTAGTCTTTTAAGGTAGAGTCTATATTTCTGCAAAAAGAAACATCAATTAGAAGACTGAGCATCAACAAAGAAAATAAATTATCTGGAAAAGAGAAGCATTTAGAAAAATGAATATTGAAGAAGAATTCATGAAGACACTCCTACTAGTTAGGATAAGTATATTGTAATTCCAGCCACAAAAACTTCACAAGGTGTTAAGAACATGCCTGTAAATGGCTTGCTACATTTTCTCTTGTAAGCTTTTCTACATTCATGAGATCTAGTATCCTCTTAGGAACAGCCTCTGCATTAAGCATGTCAAAAATTAGTCACATCATAAGAGAAGTGCAATATGTTGTCTCACAAAGAGCAGAAACAGAATAAAGTTGTAATAATAGTAAATGACAGAAAGAACTTACTATCAATTCCCAATTGATTGACTGCTGCAACAAACTTGCGGTGAAGCTCAACAGACCAAACAACCCTAGGCTTTTTCTGGCTAGATGGATCCTCACTTTCATGAGTATTTTCGTCGCAGTAGTCCTCATCCTCTTCATTCTGGTCCTTCCTCTTTCTGTTAACCTTGCCACTGTGATCCAATGGTCCATTATCGCCAATAGTCTGCGTGCCTTCAGAGTTTGCAGCTAAAGGTTTATCATGGTCTTCTCCATTGTCAAAACTGCAACGTTCCTTGTGATCAAACTTTCTCCTCCTGACAACATGTTGCCAAATATTTCTAAGCTCTTCAATCCGAACTGGTTTGAGTAGATAGTCACAAGCTCCATGAGATATCCCCATCATGACTGCATCTTTGTTTCCATTTGCAGATAACACTGCGTTTACAAGGTTTCTTAGATCAGTAGCTTTGTTTGAAGTCAAAGGGAAATAAAAGTAAATCTGATTTTTGTTGTTCTCATTTAAAGGTTAGGGTAGTTTTACCACTTTAAATGAAGTGACAGAGACAAAGCTCATAGCCCAACACTTTTGACATAGTTTTCATATTTTCTATCATTTTTAAGACATTCTAATTGAAAACCAACAGCTTGATGTCACCTAATGGCAATGTAAGATCTTCTATGGGAAATTTGTGGTCTCCCAAACCAAATTGCAAGCAAGAAAAAGATCAAAAAAGGTCAAAAAATTAGACTTTACTTATGACAGGGAGGTCCATTTCAAGCCCCACGAGTTCCAAAAGCTTAAAACCATCCATGTCCGGCATGTGAACATCGCTTATAACCAGATCAAACTTGTCTTTGTTCTCCCTCAACATATTCAGAGCCTTGATTGCCTGGTTCGTCGTTGTAACTGGAAATCAAACAAGATCAAAACAATAAGCCGATTTCAAATATTAATTTCCATAAACAAAAACAGCAGATCCAAACCCCGTTCTCCAACACTCAAAATCTTCAGTAAAAAATAAAAGAAACCCGCACCATAAACAAGAACAAATGTATCAAATACGCATCTGAAATTGACATTTTTCTAACAAAAGAGCAAACAAAAGCACAACCAATCTACTGAAACACCAAAACCATATCTGAGATTAAGAAAAAGAAGCCTGACCGTGGTATTGGCATCGCAGAAGCAGATTCTCCAGCACCTTGAGGCAGGTTGGATCGTCATCCACAGCAAGCACGCGCATCCCAATGGGGAACTGATCTCCCTGATCTTCGTCTCCCCCCATGCTTCCCCACTTCTCCTCAACGGTCATCTCCGTCACCACCGCCGCAGCAGATCACTATTTAGGTATACTACAAGTTTCTTAATCCGATCCTCCAACCCTCCCTGCTTCCACCTCAAACCCAATATAGGGTTTTTAACTGAACCCAAAGGCCACAGCTTGAAAGATGGAAAGCAACCAAGTTCCCAAATCCAAAAACAAATAAGACTTAACGGCAGTAAGCTTTGACAGGATTCAGAATTCCAGATGACTGATGAGTTGGCTCCAACAGAGATGGAAAGGGTTATTAGAAAGGAATGTTTATGGGAAACGAGACGCATCCAAATGGGGAAAACCAAAACAGAGCAAATGCACTCTGTCTCTCTCTCCTCCCCCTTATATTCCGTCCTCTATAGAGCTTTCTTTCCAGGTTTAACCAAAGCCATTAATGTAATTACGAGAAGACGAAGCAATAATTTGTGGAAGAAGAAAGCTGCGATCTTGGAAGCTATTATCATCACCTATATAATAGAGAGATGCCGAAAGAAAAAACCATACCAGGTGCTTCAATGGACTTTGTTCTCTTCTGTATATTTTTTTTTTTCTGTCAGCTTTATCAATGTGTTTAATTAGGCGGCTTAGCTTCTTTGCACAATTTTCTTATTTTTTTAGCAGTTTTTTATATAAGAATTTATACATTAAAAAAATTATTTTAAAAATAATAAGAAAAATATTTTTAAGTGAATTATTAAACTTTAAATTAAATTTTTTTAATATTATCTTGTATAGATATTGGGACCAG